GAAACTCTCAGCACATGAAGAAAGCATGCAAGAAAATAATGCCAACACAGCACAGTGCCAAAAGACTGATGGATAGATGAATAGATGAATACATGAACAAATGGATACATGGATAGATAAATGCGCAAGGAAGGGCAGGTAAACAGAGTAGATAGATGAAAAGATAGAGATAGATAGATAGATAGACACAAAGAAAGAATCTTGGCAAGATTATTCGATTAGCTAAATTCACAGCTAACCCAATACCCCAAGCAATTAAAATCATGTGAGTCAATTTTGTATGGGTTTAAGTTGAGTTTCTGTCACTTGCAACCAAAAGCTTTCTAATATATTGAAAATCAAAAAGAATGTCTTTCTTTAACAGGAGTACATTACGTAAGTTTGAGAAATGAGACTGTATGATCTCTACTAACTCTAAAGTTCAGTGATCCTTCGTGTGTGTGTTTTAATTATTTCATCAGCTCAAAAGGTTCTCTTTTTATATTTTCAGTATAGGCATTCAACAAAGAGTAGAGAAGATGATTCTTTTTATAATTATCACTATGAATATGATATCAAATGGTGATCCTTTCTCCCCTAGTTTAGGTAAAATAAAATTATTCAGAGAAGATAATTTGCAAAAAGTTAATCTTACTTTACAATTCAGAATCAAAGAAAAAGTCTCCCCTCTCCAGAGATTAAAAAAGCTAACAATGGCACATAAGAAATTTAAAAGCATTTGCATTGCAAACTAAAAATCAAAGGAAAATATATCTCTAAAAGCTTTAAAAATTTTTTAGAATATTCATCAAAATGATTCTTATAAACTTAACACTCAGTTCGCTTTACCTACCTTAATCATTTGGTTGGCAATAAATATAAAATCCCTACCAATCAAAGAAATGAATAAAGCACTTACATTGTAAAAATAATAATAATTTAAAATGAAATATCATGTCAGTAAATAAGATTCCATAGCTAAATATCAAATGAATGACTCATATGGAAAGACTTTCTTCAATTTTTATTCCTAGGTATGTGGCTCACAGGCACTTTTGCCTGAGAACCTGTTATAACAGATATTTCCAAGCCACATGCACCAGCTGTAATAGTGGCCAACTGAATCTACATCTATGCAGCTAAACTAATTTCATAGGAAGTCCTGCAAAGTCAGTAGCTAGTCTGCATCCTAAATTCGGAAATTAGTCATTTTTCAGCTCTTCACTATCAATCAACTCACTGATTTATTTAATTGTCTTACAGTCCTTACTAAAGGTTTTTTATCCAAGGAAGAGGTTTTTATTCCACACTTGGCTGTGGGAACAAAGAACAAATATATACTGACATAGCAATTATAGGTTTAACTTCTAAATTAATCTGTATTTTCAAATATAGAGGAGGGTGTGCCTCAAAGTAGGACACGTTCTCTGCAGTAAGATAAGAGCGAAGGTACAGACTTTACCTATACATCCTGAACGGAATTCTGAATATCTCAAAAGAACTGATAGTTAAGACCAGAATCAAATCTTTTATTTTAGCAGAATAATTTATAAAAGAAGTTTTGTTGCATAGCATAATAAAATACTAAAAATTTCCTAATCTAGAGGTGTTGAGGACGTGAACTTGTGAAAATACTGACAATTTCTACAGATCATAGATGACAGCCTGAAAAAAAAGGTACTGAATGATACAAGCCTATTTAAGTTTGTGTTATACAAAGCAAATCAATTTATTTAAAGGTATCCATCTATACTAATTGCCATTGCATTAATTCTGCCGCATTTTTAGGTATCATTGTAGTTTAAATACAAATTCAGACCCAAAAATGGGTCTGAATTTGAAACTCTGAAAACACTAGAGACAGAAGAGCAAATGAGAAACACTATGTGGGGGGTTCCTATGGATTTCTCCAGGCAGGAAGAATGCAATCCACGAGAATGCTTCAAGGGCAGTAACAAGCAGCTTAGAGCTGGTTATATGGACCCTGGTTACGAACATAAGGAAAGAAAGGCCATTATTGCACCAGAATTACCATTATAAAAATACTATAAACAATATCAAAGTTAGACTGGGTCAATGCCTAGAGGGTTTTATTATCATCAACACAACTACCTCACAAAATGTGCTTAATAATTCATTTGTCTGAAAATTGGAGAAGGGTTTATATTCTTATTATAATTATAGAAACAATACTTTTTAAAAATGCATAGCAATATTTATATACATAATCCTATTGTACTATAAATACCTTGCAAATAAAAATGCTACAGCTTTTAGAAATGAGATAAGAATTACAAGGAAAAAAAATAAAAGACAGAATTCTAAACACGGGACCAGGAATCTCAATTAATTCAGCACAGCTTTGCCGTGTCAAATAAAGTCTATCATAGAAAGCTATATGGGAGTGTAAAACTTCTGTTTCTGGACTTTGATCCAAGCTGTCATAAAAACTTGCCCTCATTTAATATCTCTTATTTCCAGTGTATACCAAATATTCTCAAGCTTTCGCCTGGTATAAAACAAAGCAATAAAGTCAATTATGTCATCCTTACAATTCTAAACAACCTAAAACATCACCCACAATCACAGAGCTGATTAGTAATTAATGAAAAGTAATTTTATTCTGATATGCTGCCAAGAATAACAACAGCTGTTAAGCACCATTAGCACCAAGAAAGCTTCAGTTGTAAAGGCATATGCATTAAAGCCCTCAATTAACACAGTAGCTGAGGCCTTTAGGACTACAAATTGTCCAGAATAGTGACCTGAAAGTTTTCCAGATGTGATTTATTAGTCTCAAATTAATTTCTATGCCAACAGCCTATGTTATGAATTGTTCAACTGACACCTTGAAATTGACATAAACAGGTTTTGATAACTAAAAAGCTCCAAGCTATAGCTTTTTTGGGTGTGGGGGAGTCTCTGTCACCCAGCCTGGAGCGCAGTGACACAATCTCAGCTCACGACAACCTTCACCTCCTGGGTTCAAGCAATTCTCCTGCCTCAGCCTCCCAAGTAGCTTGGATTGCAGGCATGTGCCACCAAGCCTGGCTAACTTTGTATTTTTACATGTTTCACCATGTTGGTCAGGCTGGTCTCGAACTCCTGACTTTGTGATCCATCCGCCTCAGCCTCCCAAAGTGCTGGGATACAGGCCTGAGCCACTGCTTCTGGCCCAAGCTATAGTTTTAATGAGGTGATTAGCTCCGGGTTTGGAGACGAATGTAATATAATACAATATAATATAATATAATATAATAGCATAAATGCTTTGAAGGTCAACACAAATTCACAGGTGTTTGAAAATGTGGGAATACGAGAACCTTGATGTTCAATAACTACAAATGAATGTAGATCCTTCAGTCTCAGAAAAGAATAGAAAAGCATGCGTGAATGTCAAATGACAACAATTAAGTAATGCACAAATCGTTTTTATCAGCAAGCCTGATTACTGGTACAGATGGACAATCTGAGTGAATATAAATGTATTTTAAATCTTAAAATGTGCCACGTGCATCTACAAAACTATTTTGTTTCATGGGTTTCCTGAATCACATACAATATTTATTTTACACTTACAAAGTGTGAAAATAGGGGCAAAGCAAAGTAATGTGAGCTTCTAGTTAGAAAAGAACAATTCTTAGCTGTAAAGTTAAAACATAGGCAATAAGCTTTTACCATAATAATGTGAACTACACTGGGCTTAGTGGTTTGGCATTTTTATAATCAACAAATGTTTAACCTTTCATTCACAGTTTAAGTCTCCTGCTAATGCCACCAAATATAAAACCAAACTTATAATATAGTTCCATGAAAGTCATCTGGCTACATACAAATTCTTAGATTATATTCTTTACACTGACAACTCTCAGCACTTCATTATAAGTCTTAAAATTGAGGGCCTACACTATTAAATATTTTGCACTTTTCCAACTTACACTCAACATAAACTCTTAAGAATATGTATACACACACATATATATCACAGAAAGTGTTCAGCCTATTGCCAACATCAACTATAATTTAACAACCCTAACCGAAAAATCTTTTAAAGTTTTTTTTAGAGCCTCAGTTGATCAAATTTTACAGTGAGCATGGTAATTTTGAGAAACAGGATTTTGATCTTGTGCTGCTTGGGAGAAAAAGTAATAGGAAACGAAATGTAACCTAGCTCTTCCAATTTATTTTCCAATAAAACGTTGCTACACTTTCAAAGTGTTAGCAGGCTCTGAAAGTGTAGTGTTCTTATCTATGACTAGTCAAAAACGACGAACACCTAGTTTATGTCTTTAAAAAAAAAAAACAAAACAGGGAACAAAGAAAGGACATTTATGCTGATTTATTAGAAAATAACTTTTTTTCTTTAAACTGCTTATAATCTGCCTAAAGAACACATCCAATACACACTTTTAAAAATCTGCCTGGTTTTCCAGCCCCCTCCCCAATCTATGAGCTTTAATTCAAGGAGAGTAGAAGTCTGGGAATGTGCAGAGTGAAAGGAAAGTGGGAACAGTTGCCCTCAGAGGGGCAGGTGACCCCTGAAAACTGTTGGTCCACAGCAACTGATCATTCTAGACCTCCATGGCCTTAGTATCTCACCCTAAACTCGCAGAAACATGCCCTTGAAAAAGAAACCACTTTCAGGGATCAAGATTTAGGATTTTGAAGGAAGAAGGTGAAAGCGGAGGGGAAGATGATTTTAAAAGAAAAGCTGGGTCATTAAAGAGAAAAGATTAATCCCGGAGCCTTCCCCTCTGTCAAAAAAACCCTGAAAGTGATTAAATTGACACCAACTCGGGATGTTCCTGGGGGGGGGGGGGGGAAAGAAGATGAAAAGGGGCCTAATTTAAGACCCTCGTTAATACATCTGCAAGAGAGCAACAACAACAACAAAAGTTATACAGTCCATCTTCAATGATACATCGCCCGCTGGTGCCACCGGGGCGCCACCACTCAGCACCCAGGACGCGCCGCGCCCCGGAGAAAGTGGGAAGGGGGATACGGGGATGCTGAAAAAGTACCTCGTTTTGTCTCCAAAGGGCAACATAGCAAACGTAGGAAGTTCGTTTCCGAACTTCGCCGATCCTGGACTCCAGGAGGCTCCTCCGGGGCAACAAGGAGCCCAGGTGAGTTGAGGTGAGGTCCACGACTGGAGCCAGCTCCCTCACCGCCCGGGCCTCCGCGCCGCCGCCCGTCGCCTCCCGCTTGCCCCGCGCTGCGCCGCCCCCTGGCGGGGAGCGCTCCGCAGAGCCACGGCCGCGCGCCGGCGGGTGGGAGTCCGGCGTCGAACCCGGGCCGACTCCTCCACCATCACCTCCGGGCGTGCGTCACCCTCCCGGCCAAGACGGCCAGCATCCACAGCCCGACCGCCGCAGCCCCAAGCAGGCGGTAGCGGGAAGGGAACTCCTTCTGCAAAGGAGTGCGTCCTGCACTTCAAGCACCCCGACTTCGCACCAACTCCTCAGGCTTCGGGGCACCCGTCCGCCAAGTACTCTCCGCTCCACTCTTCTTGTCCCTCTGCTCCCAGTCTCAATTCCTCCCCAACTCTCCCGCGAGCGTTTCCCACGCGTGCCCCGACTGCCCGCTGCGTAGCCTCCTCCAAAAGGACAGGCTCCCTCCTCCCCGCCCTCCGCAAGGGCCGCCCCGGAGCTTGGCTCTCGACCAGAAAGAGCCGGCCTCTGGGGTCTCCGCTGCCCCTCGGGGTCCTCTCCGGCGGCGCCTTCCCCGTGCCCTTTGTGTGCGCGCCGCAAACCACTCGGCAGAGCTCTACTTCTGGCGGCTCAGCCTTCGGCGGAGAAGCGAGTGAAAAGAGACGCGCGGGACAATCAGGGGAATGGAAGAGGGGAAAAGACGACCCACTCACTTTGGGAAGGTTCCGTCATGTTGCCTTTGGGCTTCCCGTGGTCTCGTCCCTAACCCCGGCTTCCCCGCCCAGCCAGGGCCAGGGCGAGGGGGGACGGGGGAGGAGCGGAGCCACCGAGACCGACTTGGAAATGGTGCTTCCGGAGCTGCAGGGAAGGGGCTCAGAAACTGTTTGGGTTTTGCTGATTGGATTTAGGGGAACCAGGGAGCTAGAGAGGGGCCAGGGGAAGACCCGTGAGTACGGAGATAGAATATAATCATGTTCCCGGGGAATACCAACGGGGGCGGGGGTGAGGGTGGAAGGCCGGCAAGTCCAGTTTTGTATTTGAACTTTGTGAGCAAGTTGTATCGTATCCGACACTTGAGTTTTTCGACTGTGCTCGCTTAGAGTTGAGGTTTCTACCTCGTAACAGGACCGAGGACCTACTCCAAAAAGCAAAGGGCCTGGGAACGGGTGAAAGAAGGGTAAAATCCGATAGGGAGAGAAATCAGCCCCGGGTCACACTCCATGCCCCGGCCGGGTCTTACGTGTGTCCTCCTCTTACCTGGTGGCTTTTCTAACAAAGTAAGAGAAGGTAAAGTCCCAGTGATCGTCCAGCCAGGCTTCGACCGAGTCCTGATCCCTCTGCTGCTGCTTCTGCGGCTGGGGCTGCTGCTGCTGTCGCTGCCGCCCGAAGCTGGGGCCGGCCGGCTCCATGGTTGGCGCCTCGCGCCTTGGCGGCTCTCTGTTGCTGCTTTTCCACCCCAGCGGGGGTCCCTCCCTCGGAAGAACAAGACCCGGCCTCGAGACCCTCCTTCTTCGTCCTGCTCTAGTAGGGCCGGCTTTAGGCAAAGCGGCCGGAGCGCCAGGCCAGCCTCCTGCCCCGCCCCTCCTCGCGCGGTCCTCAGGGTGCCCAGGTGTGGTGGGCGGGGCCGGGCGCAGCTGCCGCGCCCCTCCCTAAGGTTCGGCAGTGTTCGGCTCTTGCAGGCTCTGGAGCCCCCTGGTTCCGAGGTGGTGGCGGCGGCAGCGCCCGGGGAGCTCTCCGGAAACCAAGTGGCTGCGACTGAAAGGAGGCCACGCGGCCGCTGGGGTGCGCTGTGAGCCGAGCCGACTTCTGGGGAGCGCGCTGGGTGACTGGGTGTGTTCTCAGACTGCCCGCGTAAGGAGGGAAGGTCGCGATGTGGGACATTTTGCCCTAAAGTGAGACGTGGTGCGACCCTGGGCGCCTTTCCTGGGGACTGAGAGTACAATGACCGTCCCGCCTCGCTTTTACCCAGCCCTACGCTTGGGTCAGGGAGGAACGGGATCGACCTCCTTCGGAGCCCAGCCCTCACAGGACTTAAAGCGCTCCAACCACTGACCACCGCGGGGTGGAGAGAGCTGGGATGTGTGCCAGCAAGACAGATTTGCAGGTGTAGGTGGGTAACTTGCAACAAAGCCATGACGGTGCTTAATGGTAACAGCCATAATTATAAATTGAGTGCCTTCAACCATTGCCTCAAAGTTCCCTTTTACGTAATTGGAAAAAGATTTTCTTGGAAAAGAAATGGCAAAGAAATCATTTCCAATGCTTTGTGCATGAAGTTAGAAAACAAGGGCACCTCTGTACAATTAGGTTAATCCAAGAGCACTGGCACAACCCAGGTGCAGTCGAGGGCAACCAGTTAGCCCAATTTTAAATTAATGCATCATTTTAATTAAATTGGAATTAACACTCCCTTAAAAGTATTCCTTAAAGATGGCTCAGCCAATTTTGTCCAATCCCTATCTTGCTTCTTTAAAAAAGGAGTTGGTGTCATTCTTTGCTTTGTCTGCATCCCCATCTTCCTGTCACGCATTTGCAGTTTTAATATGGCATTTTGCAATGACCTATATTTTTGGGTAGAATTAAATCTGGAATGATGGGTTGCACAATTTGTGAATGACACCATTAGCAGTGATATACAAAAAAAATGACTTAGCTGATATACTTTTAACAAACTCCCTTCAAAATACTCTTGGCAAGAATGTAAGACGTTATTCACTACATAGTAACACATCATTAAATTGATAATCTGAGTACTTTTAAAAGTATCTTTTAGTCCCCCAATGCAATGGTTTATCTTTCCTTCATTGAATAATTGGCCTTTTGCAACCTCGGTTTTTCTGAAACTTTACTGCTGTATGCTGGTAACCACAACCAAAGAAAAGCAAACAAAGCAGTAGAGTGTGAACCAATGTGTGATAAATTATATCGGATTTAAAAATGAGAATTCTCTCCTAAAGTGTTACTATGTTAATGATTATACTGCTCGTGGAATACAGTCATGCGTCACTGAACAGCAGGATACATTCTGAGGAATGCATCCTTAGGGAATTTCATCTTCCTTTGAACATTACAGTGCCCTAACACAAAATAGATGGCTCAGCCTACCACACACCTAGGCTATGTGGTAAACGTATTGCTCCTAGGCCGCAAACCTATACAGCATATAACTGTACTGAATACTGTAGGCAGTTGTAATGCAATGATGTTTGTGTGTCTAAATATATCTAAACATAGAAAAGGTACAATAGGCCGGGCACGGTGGCTCATGCCTATAATCCCAGCACTTTGGGACGCCGAAGCGGGTGGATCACGAGGTCAAGAGATCGAGACCATCCTGGCCAACATGGTGAAACCCCGTCTCTACTAAAAATACAAACAGATTAGCTGGGCATCGTGGCACGCGCCTGTAGTCCCAGCTACTCAGGAGGCTGAGGCAGGAGAATTGCTTGAACCCGGGAGGCAGAGGTTGCAGTGAGCCGAGACAGCGCCACTGCACTCCGGCGCCTGGTGACTGAGTGAGACTCTGCCTCAAAAAAACAACAAAAAAAAGAAAAGGTATAATAAAAATATAGTATTATGGGAATCATGTATGCGGTCTGTCCCCTGAAAAGTGGCACATTACTGTGGAGAGTTTCTCCTCAATCCTGTTTTTTCTTGTGGAAATCCATTTATTTCTCCTAATAGGAGGTCAATTGTAACTTAAAACTGCTTATCTACTAAAGATGCAGTGGATTTGGGCTTGAATTATTTGCTTTTGTTGGATACTTGATTAAATAAACACGTATAATCATTTCAGTGTTTATGTTCCCTCCAAAATTCATGTTGAAACTTAATCCCCAATTCAACAATATTAAGAGGAGGTGCCTTTAGACCATTAGGGATCTGCTTTTGCAAATGCATTAGTGCCTTTTTTAAAATGACTCAAAGGAGCCAGTTGGCCCTTTCTATTCTTTCCATCACGTGAAGACACAGCACTGACCCCTGCAGAGGATGCAGCAACAAGGTGACATTTTAGAAGCAAAGAGCAGCCCTCACTAGACACCGACTCTGCTGGCACTTTAATCTTGGAGTTTCCAGCCTCCAGAAGTGTGGGAAATTAATTTCTATTGTTTATAAATTACCCAATCTGTGGTATTTTATTATAGCAACAAAAATGAACTAAGACAATGGGTGATATCAAAATGTTCATTTTTCTCTTCTAACCTGAAAGGGTTAAATTATAAGAAACCAGAATGTTTTCTGAAAAATTGCTGCAAGAAAAACAATCCATAGGCTGGGAACAGTGGTTCATGCCTGTAATCTCAGAACTTGGGGGAGGGTGAGGTAGGAGGATCACTTGAGCTCTGGAGTTTGAACCAGCTTGGACCACATTGCATGACCCTGTCTCTACAAAAATTTTCAAAAAATTAGCCAGGCATGAGGAAACACACCTGTAATTCTAGTTACTCAAGAGGCTGAGGCAAGAGGATTGAGCCCAGGAGGTCAAGGCTGCAGTGAGTCATGATCATGTCTTGCACTTCAGTCTCTGTGAGAGTGTGAGACTCCTGGCTCAAGAAAAGAAAAGAAAAGAAGAGAAGAGAGGAGGGGAGGGGAGGGGAGGGAAGAGGAGAGGAGTGGAGAGGAGAGGAGAGACTTCAGTCTCTGTGACAGTGTGAGACTCCTGGCGCAATAACAGAAAAGAAAAGAAGAGAGGAGAGGAGAGGGGAGGGGAGGGGAGGGGAGGGGGGAAGCGGGGAGGGGAGGAAAGGAAAACCATACATAGATTCTCTCAACGATGAATCTCAGTTCTGTGTGGTATAGATGGTAGGTTGGGGACTATTGTGAAGGCCTGTTACCTGAGGAACATCACAAGGGATTGGGGAGCAGAAGTGTCTCAAATAGTTCTAGTCTCTGGGAAAATCAGACAAAATGTGTACTATAACTCCTGTAAATTTAAGTAGTTAAAGGTAAGCATATTTTGAACTGCCATTACCTGGGCCTCTTGTTTTGCAGCTCCACTTTATTATTTATCCCAATTTTCTCAATTATTTTGTTTTAACTTGGTATGGATTATTCTAAACACCTTGAATCTTGTTATGAAATGAGTTAAGAATAAGTAAATAATAAACCCTCCCAAGAAATAACTTGAAAAATGCTGTTAATGCTATTCATAACAAACAAATGAGCAATGATATATATTTGTATTTATATATATATATTTTTATTTTTATAAATTACCCAGTCTGTAGTATTTTGTTATTGCAACACAAATGGACTAAGACATACATATAGCATATATCAATGATATATATATATATATATATATATATATATATATATATCATTGCTCATTTGTTGCTCATGAGCAACAACTTAATCTGAAGACTTCCAATGTATTCCCATTGTACTGGAATAAAACTCAAACTCTCTAATGTGGCTTATAGGGTTCAACATTATTTGGCCATTACCTACCTGTACTGCTAAAGGTTTTGATCATACAAATAGAAAAAGCAAACATAACCAAAAAACAAATGCAACAAAGCAAAAACACAAAAAAGAAATATAAAGCATAAAAATTGGAAAGGATGGCCGGGCACGGTGGCTCACACCTATAATCCCAGCACTTTGGGAGGCTGAGGCAGGTGGATCACGAGGGCAAGAGATCGAGACCATCCTGGTCAACAAGTTGAAAC